CTGAGCGATTGTGTAAATCTTTGTGAATTAAGGTAACAGTTAGGCCTTCGTGACAACAACAGTCATTGTGAATCTTTGGAAATACACGAGTCTTAGTAAATTACAGTTAAATACGTCTGGGTGGAACTAATTATAAATCCAGGACATAGGAATAAATCAGCAGATTACTATGTACATTAAAAAGAAACAACTCTCGAATACCTCGTTTAACTGTAGCGATTCACCAAAATCGCACGTTAACAGTACACTTTGCTAATTTAAAGCCTTTAGATCTTTTTTAAGAGATAGAATTTGCCTTCAAAATTGGAAGATAACCTAATAGAACTTTGGTATCAGGTTTATTTCTACGCCAACTAATTATATTGCCTAATGTCAAAAAATTGGATACTCATTAGACTTGCCCAAATGGTCACAAGTTGTCGCATCAGAATATAGGATGATAGATAAAACCTTTGCTCCTTTAGGAATTGACGCTTGTACTTTTTTCCACCATTTTCCATTATATTGCTCATGGTAAACTCTTTGCCTATTATAGAATAATGGCATAAATTTTAAAGATACAATGTTATATATTTCCTGGTTGTTTAACAGTTCCTTTACAGTATCGAATATTTGATGATAACGAAGGTAGTATGTTGTTTCCTCATATGTCATAATGGGTATTTTTTTAAAGAATATATAGTATACATTTATTTGATCTATTAATCGACAGCCTTGCTTTATAGAAGTGGGTAATCTTATATCATCACAGCAAATTTTACGTGAAAATTTAAGTATATCGCTATTGCATGTATCAGATAAATTACACTTTATAAGCAATTCCATAAAATCCCAAACTCTTCACTTGGTAACTTGGGCCTATTTATTGTTGAACTACTAATATAGAGAGACTCAAAGACTGGTGTAGGTTCAACGTTAATTAATATATACTTTTATATTAATACAGTAAATTAAATATTAACTGTTAGTTTAAATAATAGCGTTGATCATCAAACTTTCTGTATTAACTAAATATTAAATAAATGACGTTATGCATGCATCAAACTTTTTGTATTAGAATCTTACTTAAAAATCGTCAATCAAATCATCTTCTTCCCCTTTTTCCTCCTCTTCCTCCTCCTCTTCTTCAATGTCTTTATAGTGGCTAACCAACTCTTCTTCTACATATTCTTATACTCAAACTCTTCTTTAATATTAATCAAATCTTCATCAGTGTTAACCAACTCTTCTTCTTTCTCCTCTTCTTCGTTTTCTTCAATATTTAGGTCTTCATAGTTTATTACATCATCATTTTCTATTAGGTTATTTTGTACCTCTTCTTCAACGATTTCATCTAAAATTCTATCAATCGCACTATCATGGATTTTTATGTGATTTCTTAAAGAAAAATGATGAGAGAAAGTTCTTTCATATTGTGGATATATGTATTGCATTTTTGTTAAGAATGAACAAATTTTTAAAATTTTTTTTTAATTCAATTAGCTGCATCAAGTAATAATAATGAAAGTAATGTCAAATAAATGATGATCATTATTAAATCATCAACAATTATTATAAAAATGACAATAGAAAATCATATTTAGTATTCTGTAATATAACATGAAGATTTTTACGGTAGTAAGATAAATAAATTAATACGTTTATTAATATAGTTTTTTACTTTTGCGTAATTTTTTAATTTCGCATTTATTAATGTAGTTTCTGACTTCTATAGCGGTATGATATGAACTAAATTCAAGACTAAATTCAAGCATTTATCAATGATGATATAAGTTATACATTTATCAATGCAATTTCTATAAAGGTATGATGATGTATTTACTGATGTTTTATATGATATATTATATTTTTAAAATTAATAAAAAAAACAAAAATGAGAACGAATAGCTTATTCTACATATCATCCTTTACTAGAAAAATACAAATTTTAACTTTCAAGTAATAATCCAAAAATGAATGACAAACAAGACAGATTTAATATTGACGCATCTTCTTTAAAATGTCCATAAGTTAGAAGATCAAAACATTTGAATGAAGATGTAATTATATTTGTTATTTATTTTATATACGTTTATTTAAATTTACTTACATCTATATATATTATAATTTTCTAGATATCAAGAGATGGTATAAAATAATTTTACTTATTTTATTAAATCTTAACAAATGCACTAATCCATAGTAACAATAATAATAAAGCATCTGAAGATAATACGGGAGTAGTTCTACCAAAAAAGACCTATATCAAAAATATCAATTTGTTTTCTAATAATAAATTAATGCCTGTTGCTATCAATGATACCATCACTATCTCCACCATCATTATCAAGAAACCCAACACCAAGCTTAACACCAAGTCTAACATCATTACCTCTACCCCTAAAAATTCATCAAGCCCAATACCATTACCTTCATTCCTAAAAAAAATCATGCCTTCTCATCTCAATTAATAGTGAGTTTTTATTATTTCATTTGATACCTTTATATTATATTGAATTTTTAATATATTTATCATATTTTTATATTAGCCAACGAAAACGCTATTGACTAATACCTTGTTATCTTCATCAAGAACGGAAACATAATCAACTGGTATTTTATTGTCATTATCGTCGCATCTACCTACGCAAAGCAAAAAAACTGCCAAAGGTTCAAGTTTATAGTATACATTATAAATATATTTATTGCATGATATTATTAATATGTATATATTTATCATAATTAGCTACTGTTAATTCGCGTATTTTGGATAAGGTATTGTTGCTCTGCCAAAAGAACAACACTAAGCTAGATCAAATTTTAAAAAGACAAGATAAATTTGAGACAATTATTATTGAGCAAAAAGATAAAATTGATGAAATTTTATCAAAATTTGAGGAGCAGAAATTCAATACAGAGATCAGAATCGGCAAAAAGGAGGGTAAAGATAAAGGAAAGAAAAATAGAATCAAATTTTATCAAGTAAACATGTGTGTTTTATTATTTTTTATTTGTTTACTCTATCTTGATTTTAATTGTTAACTTAATTTATATTACAGAAAGTGATTCAAAAATTGTCTTACAAGTTGTTTTACAAACATAGACAACTAACAGACAATGAACCCAAAGTACGCCTAAAGGCGAAATTAGATAGCGATGAATATTGTACAAATTATCTTCGAAAGCTGAAAGATAACAATATTAGTTACAACGATTTATAGGATGAAAAGCTATATTCAGCCGTTAATATTTTTATTTATATTTTTAGTTATCATATTCTATGCTGTTTATTAACCAATAATTTATTTGAATGAACTAAACTAGTTGCTTAAGGTGAATCGTATCAAAAAGGGGTACTATATTCGCTGTATAAAAGAAAGCCTATGGTCTATCTTTGGGTTTAACAGAATTAAGCCTTATGAAGACAATTGGTCCAAGAAGCAAATAAAAGATTAGAAGACAAGCAAAGAAGTAAAAGCAGTATATGATGATCTATATTGCCTAAATGATCCAAATGATCTGTCATCAGACACATATGGGAGGCGGTCAGTAGAAAAGGGAAATCTAAAATTTGGTCAAAATTTATATTATTAGACCACTTGGCTAATCTCAATTATATGCATAAATTTGGCTTAATAATAAAAATTAACAAAAATTTTAGATTTCCACCTTTTTTACTGACTGCCTCCCATATGTTACATTGATCATCAAGTCTTTTTTTGCATCTAATAAAAAACTAACACAAAAAAATGCTGTTTGGACTCAATCAGTACTTGAAACAATTTTTGATGTTGACTATCTCTCAACGAAAATTGATACTGATATGATTGAGTCGTAGAAAATGTTATTAAATGTAATAAACAGGTAACATTATAAACGTTGTTGCTTTATAAACTTTATTTCTTTATAATATTATTAAATACTTTCTTTACCTTTAATTAGAATGATGAAGATGAGCAGTACGAGGAGAAAAAAGAAGTGTAGGATAGTCTGCAACACAGTAAACATGCTTTCACTGATAAAAAGTTGTACAATTTTTATCAAAGCCTAGACAATGATGCGAATTTTATGAAAGATTAAATGTGTTTAACACCTTTAATTATAAATTAACCAATTAACTTTATTTTATGAGGTATTAGATACATATGCATTTTAGCATAGAAATTTATAATAAAATTACCATAACTTATAGTGATTGCTATTGTATTTTCGCATCAAACAGTATATTAATCAATACTATTATACTCATTTTTCAACACTATTATGTGATACCATTGTTTTAATATATGTTATTTTACACCTAAAATGTATTGATTAATGTCCTTTTAAATAGCGTTGATTAACATAAGGTTCGTATATCAATACTTTTTAGTATTGATCGATACATAACATATATTGACACATTATATGCTTGTTTAAAACTTCCTGATATAATTATTGAGAGGTTATATACTCATTTGAAAATTATATTTGATTGAATAATTGGACCTATAGTGGTGAACAAATTTCTTATTTAATGCTTAATATCATTTACTAATAATTCTATCAAATCAATTTGTTGAAGACTATTTGTAGTAGAAGTAATTGGATATTATGAATTGGTAAGATAGTATCTTCTATCATTAAATAATCATTATAGAAGGGAAAAACGTAGTTAGAATCAGTAGCATATATAGCATTATATTTGATATTATACAACATTTCAAAACGATTAAAATAAAAACCTATGTCTTCTTTATTTTGTTGATTTTCAATAATATCATTCTTGATAGAAACTAATGTATCACTAATTATAAGTATCTATTTTTTATATTATCAAATCTTTCTTAAATAAGTTTGAAGGTATTGATAAAATTGGATATTACTTAAGTAGTTTATTAATTATTATTTTTAGGAAGGATATTCTTAATAGTATTAGCATAAGGTGTAGCATTATTAAATCTATTAAAAGTAATGTTTTAAGAAAGTTAGTATGGTTCTGATTTTAAAAACAATTATAGAATGGTTTATATGAATTGATTGATTTAAAATTTATACATTCTTTATATTTATGATTGAAAGCTATACAGCTTCTATAGTATTTGATAAATAGTTTCATCCAATATAGAGTTTTTCCTTTAAATTTTTGAGATTGCGTTGTCGCAGTATAGAGGTTTTTAAGAGTTGCAAAGTTAATAAATGCATATGATCTAAGGTAATATTGTTGATCACATGATATAAAACATGTTCTAGCATTAATATGCATAAGAAAATCACCTAACTGTTGTTGGTCAGTATTGAATAGGAGACCAGTGAGTTTTAATTTAAATTGTTGATATAAAGCAGTTTATTTATATTAGGTCAAATCTGTTGGTTCTACTCTAAGAGCTATTTTAAGAAATTTTATTGATCATAATTTATCATAAAATGGTTTAATAATATCAACATTATTAAAAACAATAAAAGTAATCTATTATAAGCCTCAAACAATTATTGAAAATCTGGTAATTACTTCATATTTGAAGAAATAATTTCGTAATATATCAGATTTGACAAATAAGATAATATCTAATACTTTAAGGTTTCAGCATCTTATTTGCTGCAGAATCTATGATAATAAAGATTGGATTATGTTATGTTTCCTGTACTTTTATGATAGCATGTGTCATTTTCTTTATCAATTGAAAATAGACTGAAAATTTTCTAAATTTAGCAACGTAAGTAGAGCCTTGATAATTATTGAAATGTATAAATAGGAAATTAATGAATATGTGTTTTTCAGCTATGATTTTTTCTTTTATATTTGACACATTATTAATCACGAAAAAAATGTGTGAAAGCAGTAATAATGTTATAAGTAGCCCTTAATTTTCTTGATCATATGACTCTTTATTTTGTTTAATTTTTTTAGACCAAGATGTTTTGTTTTTGTTTTCCTTTATTAGTAGTAAGTAGGATATAATCAAAATCAGTATCATTAAATATATTGTTATTATTATTGTAAGTGTGTATAGAATCAAAAGAAATAAAGTCTAAAGTAATGTTAACATCCATTTAACATCCATTTTTAAGGGAATTAGTTGAAGAAACATTATGATCAGTTTTTGTATTTGATAGAAGATCGTTATTCTCTATCAAAACTTTATTTATAATACTATTTTCAATTTCTGGGTTAGTGATATCTTCGTTTAAAAATGTTAAAGTTTTTTATTTTTTTTAAAAAAGTATTTCCATTAGGTTTAGTTGTTTTTAAGGAGAAGTTAATAGTATTGAGTCATTAATTGGGTATTACGTTTGTTACGTTAATAAGTTTTTATTTTATTATTTGGAATAAGGTTTCTCAAAATCAAATTGAATCAAATATTTAAGCAATTTGAATTTAATTTGATTTTTTCAAATCAAATCAAATCAAATCAAATCAAATTGAACTCAAATATTTGATCGAATCAATTTGAATCGATTTGAATTTGATTAAATGAATCAAATCAAATCAAATCAAATAATTCTAAAGTTTTAATTAAGAAAATTATTAGTAATTGCACTAAAAAATTTTAAAGATAGCTTTTACAAAGTAATTTTACTAAAAGGTGAATTTTTACTATCAAACTTAATAAAACAACTTCACAGTTTCAGTTTTACTAATAAAACTTAATAATAATCAACATCTCAATTTCATAACAATTTTATTAGTAAAAAACGTTTTCGAAGTCACAAATGTGTTTTTTACTAGGTTTTTAGTAAAAAAGTTTCTGAAGCCGCAAAGGTGTTTTTTACTATATTTTTCTTAATAAAAAAGGCATTTCCGAAACCATGAAGGCACTTTTTACTATGGTTTTCTTATTAAAAAAGGCATTTTAGAAGCTGCAGAGCTACTTTTTGCTACAGTTTTCTTAGTAAAAAAGGTATTTTCAAAGTTGTAGTAGCACTTTTTACTATGGTTTTCTTAGTAAGAGCCACTCCTGAAGTTTTGGAGATAGCTTTACTATTAATTCAAATCAAATCAAATATTTGAATACTTGATTTGAATTTGATCAAATTGAATTAAACATTAATTTAGATTTGATCAAATAAATCATTCTTTGATTTAAATTTGATCAAATCAAATCAAATTGCGAAATCCTAGCTATTGTCACTAGAATTAAGCCTATTAGAAAGATTTGACACCTCCTGCCAGTTACCAACTATCTAGAAACTATATTTCACTATAGGACTAAGTGATCCATATATCTTGCTAGGGTATATACACTTACCCTAATTAATGCCGTAGGGTTTATAGGATTATTATCACAAGATTTACCTAAACAGTGAACTAGTAAGATAATGATCAGGTCATATCAACAAATATCTTAGGAATTAAACCTAACTTCAGACCTAATAATATGCTTGATTAGATGATGCTGTAGCATGCAATGCAGTTTATTATCACCGTTGATCTAATCTACTAAATTTTGGTCAATCATTTCCTTAATTTATATATAATCTTATGATCATATACAGAAATAGAGGCTCCTGCTAGGTGAAACATAAGACTGTATTTATTACAGACTAATTAGCACGCTATACAGTATTTAGGCATGATCAACATTGATCAATAGATCAATCAACTAGATTTGTACGCAACGCATGTTAGTACATACGCCTATCATATTCAATACATATGAAATTCTTATGAAAATCATTTAGTTTTATGTATCAGTCGATACCTAAACTGATAGTCTATTATTGTATAATGAAACTTTAACTTAATAGGAGATTTACAATTTAATCACTGAGCCAAGAACATCGCTCTCTTTAGTATTGCCTTATTAATTAATTAGACTCAATATTATTTTTAGTGCAATTTTTATTGGCTAAGTATGTTTATTGTGGCATAACTATTTTTTGATCATCAATTACTTAAAATCAATTTACTAGTCTCGTAACCCATTTTTAATATATCAGCTCCATATATTAATTTACAATTAAGTTACATTTTTAAACATATTATTATATATTTATTTACTTACCCATAATTCTTAACCAAATTTCTTCATTTCTACTTATATTAATAACTAATATAATTTTTATTTTATCTTATATTTATTCTATAAGAAATACTATATCAAAATTCAGTTTTATTCCTTTAAAATAAATAGTGATATTTGTGATTTTATCTCCTTCTTTTCTTAACTAAAAAATCAGTTTCTAGATAACTTCAAACTATTTTTGTAGAAAATTTTTATTATAAAATTCAAAAAAAAAT